TCTTGCTGCTGGGGGCTCGCTGCTGCCCCTGTTGCCGGCGAGTCCGTCTCGACAGGGTTTAGGTGCAGCCCCCAAGTTGGGGGCGGAGAAGCGGACGGCGCTGGCTGGCTGGTGTCTTGGGCTACCTCTTCCTTCTCGCTGCGCAAGCACCCCCATTGAAGATGCTTTGGGCAGAATCAAGACCAGCGAGGCTGACCAAGAGTTTCGAGCCCTCATGATGATGCTCATCGCTGGCCCAAGGACACGCGTCGTCTGACGTCGAGGATGCACCCATGAAGACAAAGGGCTTTGAAAAAGCAGAAACCGCCATGACAAAGCAAACTTGCACGAGGAAGCCATCGCCAACATGACAAACCACGAAACAAGATGACCTACAAGTCTGCCTTGCAGGTCTGGATGCCCCCTTCCCCCGCCATTGGTAACCCAGCGGTGCAGTGAAACAAGTTTCTTGGCAGCCATAGGGCTGCTGGGTCAAGCGAGCGCAGACGCGACTGTACGACTGTAGGGATGAATAGTCTTGTGATTCCCCCCTTTGTTCTCTAACGTGGCTGGCAATGCACCATGACGGACACGCGCAGTGCTCAGCCCCGCCGCGCGAACGACGAAACCGCAGCAGACGGGACGAGGGTGGGGGCCGCATTGGCACAGCACAGCCCTACACCCTAATGTACCTACAAACCCACCACAACCAATCTGTCCCCCTTGAGGCGTAGAACCAGCCAGTAGAGGCAGCCCGAGCGTCTTTTTGCGTACCGTTCCGTCCCGGGTGGAGATCGGGGTTGACCCGGCCGGCGCCGTGAGGGTCCTCGTGACGGCGGCCAGGCAGTGGGAGTGGTAGGCCGGATGCGAGGGCCCCTTCGGTGAGGGCTTTTTGGTGATGCTTTGCGCTGGGGGAGAAGCATGATGATGTGGCTAGGAGGATCATGTGTCTTTGCAAGGAGGCCTGTGGCGATAGTTGCACCGACGAGGCGAGGCCGGATCAAGCGTTTCGCGAAGGGTGACGGGTGCTCTGAGAGTATGGTATTTCATCCAGCTTCTCGAGCGAGAAGGCCTCACGGCCAAAGTGACATGTACCTCTGGCATTGTGGTGAAGTAATCGTCCCCTCACGCAATGATACAACGGACACGGCTCGATGACAGAATTCAGTCCCTTGTACCAGATCAATTCGCCATCCAAGTCAACACACCATCATGCACCAGTCTTCGCACAATAACATGCACACACAAGTCAATTAACGCCAGCCGGATCAGCCCGGCACCCGCTAATACATCGGACACGCCCGTCCGTCGCTCTCTGAAATGCTTTCGCCCGTGATTAGCTGCTAGCAAGATGCGCCTTCCGTCCCCGCTCCCCGTTTCTGCACCACGACATCTACCTCCCCATTCCTCTCGGCGCAAGCAAAGAAGTATGACGCCCACCTGCCTGTGTTCAAGTTCAAGTTTTCTTTCTTTCATGACGCGTGTCGGTCGTCGACGCCCCTTTGCGGCCCGGCGCTGGGGCGTTTTCGTCCCAAGCACAATTAGTAAATACAGGGTGTCTGCTGTTCGTTATTGCTTTCGCTGCTGCTCACAGAAATCTTCTGATGGGGTCTCCTGAGCCCTGTCTAGAGGAACAGAGGGGGCGCCAGGACCCCTTCAAAACAAACTCAGGACTGCCACGGCCGCTCACACCTCCTCGGCGGCCACGACCTCGTAACCGCCGCGGCGCCGGCCGCGGCCGATATCCATGAGACTGGGGCTCTCGTACATGGCCGTGTAATCGACGGGCTCGCCGCCAAGCACGGCGGCGCCGTTCTCGCGCTGCCCAAAGGTCGGCGCGGGATCGCACCAAAAGTCGCGGCAGTTGGTGACGATGCCGCGCGAGTAGGGGTTCCTCTTCTTGCGGCGTGTGTTCTTGGCGTTGCCACCGGTCGCGGCGCCACGGCCGCGGACCGTCTCGAGGAAGGGTTCGACGCCGAGCAGGCGGAACATTTGCTTCATGAAACCGCCGCGGTGGGCGTGGCCGTGCTTGCTGAGAGCTGACGGCGCAACGCTGCCGTCGGGGGCGGCAAGGGCGGCCTGGTTCGGGTCGAGAGGTGTGCCGGTCGAGGTAAAGGCAGATGTGGCGGACGCGTCGCGGATGCCGTACATATTCTCAAAGGTCGTCATGGCGCGGGACACCTGGACAAACTGCACGAAGAGGAGCATGCTGACCCAGGTCAGCTGAACCGTGATCCAAATGCTGAGAACGGCCGTGTAGCCGTCTGCGTTGACGATTTTGCAGAGCGTCGGAGACAAGATACTGCAGCTGTCGGAGGCGTTGATCGAGACATCGTTGAGGTCTAGAGATGGTTAGCACGTGATGTCGCGTTCCCTCAAATACATGGCAAGACATACAGTTGTAGAGAAGCCAGTCGTAGAAGATGATGCCGAAGCTCAGGCTGATGAGGTAGAGGAAAAAATGACGGTGGTTGTTTACACCAATGCAGTTGTACACCCATGGGCAGTGGTGGTCGTGTTTCGCCACGCAGCGCTGGCACTGCTTGCAGTGTTTGCTGCGCAGAGGCGTCCGGATCATGCACGTCACGCAAAAGTTGGCCTCATCAAATTTCCACAGGCCGAGCAGCTCGTCAATGACGGTCTTTTGCTCGGCAATGCCCTTCATCTTGGGCACGTAGCCCGGATCGTGGCGCATGCAGACGGAGTAAAAGTAAGCGCACAGCGACAAGGATGTACCGAAACAAATATTGAGCCACCAGTGAGGATTGCTCGGGGCTGTGGGTGTCAGCCAACGTCTAGAACATGTTTGGTTACTTGACGCCTTTACTCACCATTGGAGAAAGTCGTGTACGGCAGAACGGTGAAAATCCAGTTCCAGGCTGTGAGGAAGAGAGTGGCGGCAAAGATGCCGGCAAGATAAGGCTACTAGGTCAGTTCCGCCAGGCCTCCAAGAAACAACTGAAGTATGCATACCGTCTTGTGAAAGTGTCTCATGCCCGGTGGCGCATGGTCAAGCACCCTCTGCGCACACCACTGCAACGTATATGCGACGGCCACGCTGATGAGGACACCGGCCAAGATGGGCATGCCTCCCAGTATGCCGAGAACCGACCACAACGTCAATGTCGGCCAGAAGAAGAGGAATTTGGTTACGAAGCCCCTCTTATCCTGCCTCAGGTACTTGGCTCCCGGGAAATGAGGCTCGATCGCTTGCGCATCCTCATCGTACCCGCACTCCCGCAGCGCGCGGTGCCAGGCGCCCACTGTGTTGAGCTCCTTGGCTGTGACATCGGGGGTCTTCCCCGTCTCCGTCTTGGCAAACCGATCGGAGCCGTACTCGATGAGCTTCTGAACGCAGCCGGGCGAGCCCTTGACGAGGGCCCAGTGCAGCGCCGTGAAGCCCTGCTCGTCGGTGGCGTGTACGCTGGCGCCCCAGCGGAGAAAGAGGTCGACACACTGGGGGAAGCCCTTGTAGGCGGACCACATGAGGCCCGTGTGCCCGTAGCTATCGGCGACATCCACGGGGATGCCTTGATGGAGGAGGAGGACGATGAGGAGGACGTTGCCATTGAAAGTCGAAATGTGGAGCGTGTTGTAGCCTTGGGCATCGGTGATGAGGGGGTCGGCGCCGTGCTGGAGGAGGAGATTGACGGTGTAGTAGTGGCAGCGCTGCGCGGCCCACTGGAGCGGCGTCGCGACCGATTCACCTCCTTTTCTGTTGATCTCTGCGCCGTGGTCGATGAGGAACTTGGCCATGGCGTACTGGTTGTTGATGGCCGCCCACTGGTACAGTCAGTATGAGGTTCATCGGGATGGCGACCATGGGCTCCATCGACTTGGAGCAGCGATGCAGACTTGGTGAGGGCAGACTTGGAAAAGGGGAGATAGCGTACATGCAGCGGCGTGATGCCTTCATCATCGTGATATGTGGCATCGTACTCGCCCGACTCGAAGAGCTTCTCCATGCCGGCGACGTTGCCGACCCTCGCCAGCTGCATAATGTCGTTTTCTGGCGGCGTCGCACGCGCGTCTGCTACGGCACCCATCTCCATGTCGTTGATAGCCGGCGCGACGGCGGCTCCTTTATTCGCGGGTTGTGTAGGGGCAGCAGGTGAAGAAGCAGGCTGGCCCACGAAGGGAGAGGTGGCTCGAGGTTTGTCCATCGAATGCGAGAGGCGGCTGTCGAGAAAGCCAACGTGCGAAACACAGAGTCGGTCAGGGTCTGACGACGGGGGGGGGGCGTCGGTGGGTTTGTCTTCGTCGTGGTCGGCAAGGGCGGGTCGTGCGTGCGCGTACAGACGGTAGTTGACTGCCGGGCGGGTATCGATGGAATCGGGGTTGAGTTTATGAAAATTGACGCTTCATTAGGCGGACCACGACGGACAAGAATTCAAAGGATGAGGATGCGGACCTCGAGAAAGACAGGATGCGATACAGGGTGTGCACAATTGGGGATGGAATGCGAAGCGAGATAGCTGCAGTGAAGGAAGCGTGATCCAAGAAGGGTAGCTTCTCTACTCAGACGAGCTTAGGGATTGGAGGCCCCGGAAATTGCTGTCGTCAGCAATGCGCCTTGGCGAGGCTGAGGGCCGCAGACCTCAGAGGCTTTGGACCCTCTGGCGAGGCTGGCCAATGAAGCATCAACGGGGTACAGCTGTCAGGCAAAGGGTGCGGAGACAACGTCGACGGCAGGGTTCTGGCCAACCCCATCGCTGCAGCCCCACTGAAGGAACGCTGGATAGGCCTGGCCCAAATGGGCAGGTCGAGAGGGCAAGAGCCAAGAAGAGGCGAGACGAGATCTGGCGATTTGGGATCCAGACAACCCGAGCCGTTCGAACCAAGCCCTCGTCCCCCCCTTTCAACCCTCTTCCTTTCTCTTCAAGGGTCTACTTATCCCCTCTCCCCCAACGAAGATTGTGCTCACGATCTTCTTATTCTTCTTATTTTTTTTTCTTCCTTTCCAATTCCTCTCACCCTTTCGATACCCCCCCCCTCCCCTGGCCATCGCGCAACCGCCCACCATGTCGTTCTCCAGTCTGTTCGAGTACCTGCTGACGCCGTCGATGGAGGTCATCTTCTTCGGCATCATCGTCGTCCTCCTCGTGCCCCTCGTCCTGCACACGGTCCTCATGGGCAATCCCGACCACACGAACCTGCCTGTCGTCATGCTCGCGGGCCCCATGGGCGCCGGCAAGACGGCCCTCGCCTCCCTCCTCGAGCGCGGCACGGCGCCGTCCGAGACGCACACGTCGTACGAGCCCAAGCTCGTCGAGCTCAAGGCCGTCAAGGACGCCAAGGACGCGTTCCGCGCGCACGACGACAAGACGCCCCTCGGCAAGGCCACGACGGCGAGCTTCTCCCTGCTCGACACGCCGGGCCACCCCAAGCTGCGGCGCCACGCCCTCGACAAGATCCGCCCCAACATCAACGAGCACCAGTACAAGGCCGTCGTCTTCGTCGTCGACGCCGCCGCCCTCGGCGACCAGCCCGTCCTCGCCGACGCCGCCGAGTACCTCTACGACGTGCTGCTGACGCTGCAGCGCCGCTTCATCGCCAAGAACAAGTTCCGCGGCCCCGACGAGAAGCGCAAGGGCAACCAGCTGCGCCCCGTCCTCGTCGCCGCCAACAAGGCCGACCTCTTCACGGCCCTGCCCGCCACCGTCGTCCGCGCCACCCTCGAGGCCGAGCTCGCCCGCATCCGCGCCTCGCGCAGCAAGGCCCTGCTCGACTCGGGCGTCAAGGAGGACGACCTCGGCTCCGAGGCCAACGACAGCTGGCTCGGCGAGTACGGCTCGTCCAAGTTCGCCTTTGACCAGCTCGACGAGTTTGACATTTCCGTCGACGTCCTCGGCGGCCACGTCACGGGCCAGGACGGCCCTTCGGTCGACAAGTGGTGGCAGTGGATTGCGTACCGCGTCTGAGCGCGCGCGAGAGAGGACAACGATGATACCCTTTTTCATTCGACATGTCGCTACGTAATTTATAATGTCCACGTATCGGTGCTTGCATGCTTGGTTGGCTTCGCTGTCGAGTGCCGCACTACTGAATGATCAAATGTGTTCCATGTGATAAACTTCACTGTTTGCCTGCTGCACTGCTGATCATAGATTTCTCCCATGTGATTAAGATTTGACACGTCGTAGATGTTGAGTCTACCCATCCATGCAGTTCCTCCATCTCATTTGTCTAGGCCTGTTGATGCGACCGACTCCACCCATGCTTGTTGTGTGTGTGTGTACTGCTCCATACTGCTCCATAAATTCATGAAAAAGAAACAAAATCCAAACGCCAGCCCTGCCTCTCGACTCCGCATCTCTCGTCAGCTCACAGCTTCTTGCTGACGAGCCACGTCAGCAGATCGACCTTTGTGACGACGGCGACGGGTTTGGACAGGGCCTTCTCGCCCTTGGCAGCGGCCTCGGTGACGACGGCGGCGCTGTTCCACTCGAAGAAGCGCTGCAGGGCCGTGAGGGGCGTGTCGAGGGTGATGGCGACAAACTGCCTCTTCTTCTGGCCGGCGGCGGCCTTTTGGTCGCCAAACTGGCGCGGGTCGGTGACGACCTCGTCGAGGCGGCCAAAGTCGAACATGACGGCGCTGACGGGGCTCGTGCCGGTGGCGCGGCCCGAGGACAGGTAGGACAGGAGGTTGCCGAGGGTGACGAGGCCCACGAGGCGGCCGCCCTGCTCGGGGGGCGAGAGGACGGGCAGCTGGTCGAAGCCCTTGTCGCGCATGATCTCGATGGCCTCGGCGCAGGGGCCCGTCGAGACGACGGACATGACGGGCTTGAGGCGCAGCGCGCGGATCGTCTCGCCGCCGAGCGGGTCCTTCTTGGCGTCGGCGGCGTCGGCCGTCGACGTGGCGCCGGCCTGGGCGGCCTGCGGCGCGAGGCCGTTGACCTCGGGCAGCAGGTCGTTGGCGGCGAGCCAGTCGTCGTCAGCAAACTTGGAGAGGTACGAGCGGATGCTGTCGGGCAGGACGACGACGACCGTGTCGCCCTTGCCGAGGCCGAGGTCGCGGATGGCGTGGATGGCGGCGGCCATGGCCGAGCCGGAGCTGCCACCGACGAGGAGACCCTCTTCGGCGATGAGGCGGCGGGCCAGCTGGAAGGACTCGCGGTCCTCCGTCTTGTACCACTTGTCGACAATCTCGCGCTCGAGGACATCGGGGATGAAGTCGTAGCCGATGCCCTCGACCTTGTAGCCCTCGTTGGCGTGGTCCGCGTTGAGGGCCTCGGGCAGCGCGAGGATGCTGCCCTGGGGATCGGCAGCGATGATCTTGACCGTCTTGCTGTGCTTGCGGATGCCACGGGCGATACCCGTGATGGTGCCGCCCGTGCCGGCGCCGGCGACGACGGCGGTCAGGTTGCCGCCGGTCTGCGACCAGATCTCCTCGGCAGTGCCAAACTCGTGCGCGAGAGGGTTGTCGACGTTGGCGTACTGGTCGAGGATGTGGGCGTTGGGGATCTCCTTCTGGAGGCGGCGGGCGACGCCAATGTGCGACTCGGGGGCGTCCCAGGCAGCCTGGGTCGGGGTGCGGATGATGGTGGCACCGAGAGCCTTGAGGACGGACACCTTCTCGGCCGACATCTTCTCGGGCAGGGTGATGATGGTCTTGTAGCCCTTGATGGCGCCGACGAGGGCCAGACCGATGCCTGTGTTGCCGCTCGTGGGCTCGATGAGGGTGTCGCCAGGCTTGATGCGGCCGCTCTTCTCGGCCTCCTCAATCATGCGCAGGGCTATCCTGTCCTTGACACTGCCGCCCGTGTTGAAGAGCTCGACCTTGGCGTAGACCTCGCACTCGAGGCCGAGGCTCTGGGGGATCTTGTTGAGGCGAACGAGGGGCGTGTTGCCGATCAGCTCGGTGGCAGACTGCGCCGTGACGGCGACGCGCGCCGCGGGAACAGCCTTGACGTCAGCCATTTTCGTGTGGGAGATGTCCGAACGTAGTGAGATGTCCGAATGGAGGAGTGACAGATGTTGGTTTGGAGGGGGGAAAAGTAGAAGATCAGGACCAGAAGTGTAGAGTGTAAGTCGGGTTTGAAGGAAAGGTGGGTTGATGTAAGGGAAGGGTCCAAGGCGGGGCACAGTCGCCCGTAGCGGGCTCGTAGCGGGCAATGGCGAATCCCGTCACGTCACCTCACGCGGTTCATGCAGACAAGACGCAAATTTGCTTCAAAGCCGAAAGCCGCTGATCTGCGTCGGAGGGTAACCCCGCCAAAGCCGCCAGTACCCGCGGTGCTATGGTGTGCCGTAGCATCTGCTGGTCTACCTACCCTGATGGGCGGGTTGCAGATAATGACAGACATGAAAGTATAATCGATGCCGTGCGGTAAGGTACTCCTGTCAAGGCGGGAATGCTTCATGAAGTAGGTACCTGAGCATCCCTTCTGCCATGTTTTGGCGACCGGCTTGGGTACCTTGAGGGAGGTGGAAGGTCGGTCAGAAGAAGTCCGCCGTAGAGATCTCGTTGGTGATAGTGTCTGCCGTGTGTCGAAAGAAGCCCGCCGTACTCGATCGAGCTCAGATGCTGGTGTACTTGACTCCCCGCTCCGGTGCATACGGATACCACGCCTCGAAATCCATGGCATCAACACGCAGCTTGTTGCACTGATACCGGTTCCGCACCTTGGCGATCTGCAAAAGAGCCCCCAGGCGCGAGGCTGACGAGACGAGATGGCGGCGATGCCACTCGAGCGAATTGCCCCGTCGCCCAACGCTCGACCGGGCGAGCTTCTCCGACGCGTATCTGATGGGGACGGCCTCGAAGGCGTCAATCGCGCGCACGGCATCGAGCATGGCGTCGGACCGCGCTTTGCGGGCTTGGTTCCGGGCGAACGTCTCGGCCTGCGTCTGCTGCGCCTTCTCGTAGAGGACGGCCCAGCAGGCGTCGCACGTCGTGCCCATGACGTAGAGGCCGCGGCCCTTGCGCACGATAGGCATCGCCGCCAGCTGCTCGCGGCTCTGCTCGGCCAGACAGATGTGGCAGTTCTCTCGGCGGAGATGGCGTTGATCTTGCACGTAGCCGAGGGACTCGTCTCGTCGCGTCGTTGGCGCGTCGGAGGACACGGGCGACGTCGGCCGAAATGTGTCGATGCTGCGGGTCCATTGCTGAGGCAGCACGATGCACGAGCGACAAGGGATGCTGGCGAGAGCTCGAGGGATTGTACAGCGCAGCATCGCGAAGACTGCGGATTTCCCAATCGAAGTGGTAATGGAAGGGGAAGAACAAGGCGTGGTGAAGCCAGGTGAGGCCCCTTTCCCATATTGTCTGCCTGCCTATCTGCCTAGGTAGGTACCTCGGCGGAGATGAGGTGCCCTGTCCATAGGTAGCTTAGGTAAGACGAGCAGCTTCCCGATGCCGGACGTCCTTGTTCAACGACCTATTTCAAAGGAATCAATGAATGATGCCTCTCTGTCGAGCTCGTTCCACTGTCAAAGGCATCATAGCATGCCTTGCAAGTCATGCATCGTGCTCATTTACAGTCGTCCTGACCCGCGCTCTAGCAATCTTGCTCCAAACCCCCCCAAAGCTTAGCCTCTACGCACGAGCAGTTGACATGAAGCACCCAATTAATGTAAAACAAGTCATTATTTCTCAGCCTAAACATAAAGGTATCTCTTGCTCAAACCCATCAACTCCTCTGCCACAGCGCGCCCACAGCCTACTGCTTCCCGTCCGCCTTCTCCGTCATCTCGCCCTCGCTCACCGGCGGCGTCACGTCGCCCGCCATGTGCCTGCCCTGCACGACAACCTCGCCACCGCCCCTGCCGCGACGTCCGAGGCCCATGAGGTCGCGGAACATGGACTTGGACGTGCGGGCAATGGTGCGGCGCGACTCGAACAGCGGCAGGAACACGACGATGCCCGACGACACAAACAGCCACAGGATGCCGACGACGACCCAACCGGTGAAGAACTTGCGGCTGAAGACGTACGCCGTGCCGAAGAGGGGCATCGGCCAGAGCACGAGGAACGCGAGCGTCAGTCCGATGCAGAGCCAGCGCGCAAACTTGGCCGACTTGTCGAGCTTGGCCCGCTCCTCGTCGGCGGCCGCCGCCGCGGCAGCCGCGTGCTCGGCGGCGTGCTCGTGGGGCGCCGTCTCGGCGTCGAGCGCCTCGTCCTCCTCGTCGTTGCCCTGGCGAATGTTGAGCATCGACTGCCAGTCGTAGTGTTGGGGCTTAAAGGGCGGCATGTAGGTCAGCAGCGGGATGAAGATGAGGGGCGAGAGGAGGGCGATGACGTTGCCGACGAGCATGGGCGTGTTGGCGCCCGACGTCGCCACCGTGATCTCGCCCGAGGTGACCTGCGTCGTGACGAGCCAGCCGACGAGCGAGCAGATGAGGCCGAGGATTGGCGAAAAGGTGGCGGCCGCCCACGACTGGCCGTCCCAGAGGAGAGTGAGCGTCGCGGGGATGACGGCCGACGAGATGATGACGCCCATGAGGACGTAGAGGTAGCCCATGGAGATGCCAATGTAGTAGAGGGCCGTGGAAAAGGCGCCCATGAAGAGGGCAAAGACGGTCATGCCGATGTAGTTCATGCGCATAATCTGCTTGCCAGTGGCCGCGGGGTTGATGTACGTCTTGTAAATGTCGTACGAGTAGATGGACGAGATGGCGATCAGCTCGGACGAATACGTGCTCATGATGGCCATGAAGGCGAGCAGGAGTGTGGCGACGGCACCGCCCTTTCCGAGCAGAGCAACGGCGGCGTTGGGAAGGACGAGGCCGGCGGTGACCTCGGCGTCGGTGAGGCGGTTGGGGTAGGTAGGCCAGACGTCGTAGCGCTCGAGCGCGAGACCGGCGAGACCCATGGTGGTGGCTGTCAACCAGGGGACCGCGAACCAGCTGAGACCACTGACAGACTGTTAGTAAAGCCATGCTCATGAGCGATTGACGAGTGGAGACCTACCCCATAACGTAGCCGGGAAGGGCATCAACAGGCGAAGCAGAGATGGCCTTGTTGTAGTAACCGTTGTCAAGGAAGACGGTGCCAAAGTTGCCGACAATGTTGATGACGAAGAACTCGGCGCCGCCCTGTGAGCGCATGGTCAGGTAGCTGCCGCCGGCGTTGCCGCTGATGGGTCGCTCCTTGGAGATCTCCTGCAGAATGTCCCACACGGCACCGGGCGAACCCAGGATGCCGTTGGTCGCGTACACGACAAACGCGAAGATGAAGATGATGACCAGGATGACGAGCGCGTTGACGTAGTCGGTGATGAAGGTGGCCTTGATGCCGCCGAAAAGCGTGTACACAACGACACCGAGGGGGAAGATGAAGACGGTGGCGGCAGTCGGGGCCCCCGTCAGGTTCTCAATGACGGCAGCACCGCCCGTCAGCAGCATGGCCGTGACGAGGATGTTGGTGAAGCAGCAGAAGACGATAAAGACAAAGTGGGTAACAGGTCCATAGCGGGCTCGGACGACTTCGAGAAAGGTGTGTGCGTTGGGCGCCTTGCGCTTGAGTTCGATGGCGAGAGTCGCGAACAGGATGATCTGGACGGTGGCACCGGCGGCGTACCAAAAGGGACCAGAGACACCGCTGGCAGCATGTCAGCTTCGGACAAGGCACTCAAAGACTATGGGAAAACTCACTATCGGTAGGCGACACCAGAACTTTGCAGCAGGGTTGCTGCCCATGTCCAGGTGGACAAGACGGACGAAGCGACGAGTCCAGATTTGAGGGTACGGCCAGCCGTCGTGAACATTTCAGAAGTTTGACGCTCAGAGTTGTAGCGCTTGAGAGACCAGGTAATCACAATCATGAAGCCGGCAAAAAGGACACTGAGGCCGACGATCAGGCCGTAGCTAGAAAATGTCAATGTCGGAGCTCAGCAGTGGCCATGCCGGGTGGGTGAAGCGAGCATACCCTACGCCCTGGTGAAGGATCGGACTCGACATGGCTGCGCACGAGGCGAGCTCAAGCTCGATGCTTTTCGAGTAGGTAGAGTTGGTAGAGGTGTGCGAGTACCACGACCAACAAAGACCAGGCGAGATGGAACACCGTCGCAAGATTTTCAAAGTACAGGCTCGGTGTCGAGATGGATATACTACTGAGCAAGTGCCCCATCTCAACTCCGTCGACGGACACCCGGGGCGATATATATTCTCTTCATAGCTCGTGGCTGGAGAAAATCAGAGTCGGCCGGCGGCGCATTGCTTCTGGTGGAACACGGCCCCCAGACGGCGCCGATTGATCTGGTACAGCTTGGTCATTGGCTGATGACTCTGCTCCGAGCCCGGAAAAAGCTGGTAATTACCACGAGGATGGGCAGGACAGACGGCTGGGAGGACAAGGGCCTTTCGGCGTCGCGCCTGGCGTGGCTGTCCTTACGAGGAAGGGATTTTCTCAGATAAGGTCATTCAATGGGATAAATAACGTGGTAGGCTCGTGGGGAGGCCAGGGTCCGGAAACAAGCCTTGAGCCCCGTCTGGGTGTCTGCCTCCTGCACCTTGGTCAGGCCTAGAGCGTTGCAGACTCATAGCTGGAGGAGGCCAGACACGAGACAAGCAGAGGGAGACGATCGCCCTTGCTTCACATTTGGTGCCATTGGCACAGGCAGGGCGGTCCAGCCACACCACTTAGCGTGGAGCGAAACCGGTGCCGGAGAGCGGGCATGCGGGATCCATGCGGCGTGGTGTGTCGTTCGGTGATGGTAATGGCGATGACAAGGTGCTCCGCGCCGGCGGGCATACAGTCGATGAACATAAGTGTCAAGGGCTCCTGATTCGACAGTAGCGACCCCTGACCCAGAGCGCCCGCAGAAAAGACGCGATGCTGGGACAGTCGTTCAGTGTGGACCTGAGGTCGATCGACGGCAGAGATGATAGCAGCGCCAAGAGCGGCTACGGCGTTTGTGATAGGCCCTATGCAGAACCGCCAAGATGTTCAATTGGGAGAGGAGCCGTACTCTTATCACGATCCAATCAGCGATTGTCTTGGAGTTTGTGCCTGTGGACGCATCACGTCAGTCTCCCCGACCTGATATCTGGGGGAGCACTCGAATTGAAAATGGGACTGACTGTGCTCCTCCTTTGAAGCGTGGCCACCATTGGAAGATGCATTTGTATGAGTCTCATCGCCTTGTCAAGTTCTTCGGGTGGCTTTTGATGAACGGAAGAACTCGGGCAACGAAGTGAAGAAGAAGAGTTCTGTTGGATCAGGGCATCTGACAGGACAGGGCATACAAATTGTCAATTCGATTCCTCACAGCCGGAAGTGGGTTTCTCCAATGTGGGGCTCTGTCTTGTTAGTCAGCATCCCCCACGATCTTCAACCCCCCTGTCATTTTTATCTGCCAAGTCTGCCGAGCCTTCTCCCTCGACCTCCATCAAACAAGATCTCACCAAATATGCGTCGACATGGTCTGTCGTAATCTTCGGCACATGTGCTCGGTGTGAAACACGTCTCCCCATCATGCAGAAGACAGCTAGGGTGCACTTTAGATACCGTCGCCGCCGGCGCCTTGGCAACAACATGGTACTTGAGCCGTACCACGAGCGGCTCATTCTCATCAACCCAACAGCTGGCCCAGCTTGGCATCTCGCGACTCTTGTCCCCAGCTATCTCACACGCATTGTACTGACATGTTGGAGACGCCTCACCCCCCGCAGTCCCACGCTGCCGGCGCCTCAATCGCATGATTTCATCTCTATGTCCCGCGGTGCAAGTCTAGCCCTACCAGCCATCCCCCAACTATTAAGCTCAGTGGTATTCGTACCTCCTGCCCTGCAGCCCGAAATGCCGTTCAGCATGCCAAGAAAAGCTGAAAATGTTCAAGCCGACGACCCCCATACAATCCACATGCCCACCCGTTAGCTGCTTCGCGCCCGCCGGCCACACGTCGATCCGGCCCGTCGGGGGGGACTGGCATACATGTTGGAAAGCGCTTCGTTCCTTGGAGGCTGATCGCTGATATAGAGAAGAAGACGGCTTACACAACGTGCCACGTCCGAAGATTTGAATCGCATGCTGGTACGGGCCAAGCCCGTGAGATATTCCAGTACGAGGCCGATACCTTACGTATGATGCTTCTCAATCGGATCTGCTCGTTGATTTTCGCAAAGGTCTTGCGTCTTTACAGACGCCCGTGTCCTCGCCGGCGTGTATTTTAAAGCGTCTTTTCCGCCCTGCTCTGATCCGCAAGATACCATCTACGCATCCAAAATGCTAACAGTACCAAAGCTCCCTAAGCCCTGCATTTTCACCCAACGACCATCACCAGACACGCCACATCGCCTATTTTTGCAGAATAGTAAAGTCCGTCTTGCTACTGGCTAATTATCGCTGGCAAGTGAGCAATGACCGATACAATTGACCTTGAAAGTATTTCCTGCGGTCATGGTACGCTCCAACTGCGATAGGAAGCTTCCAAGGCGTTTGTTAGGCTTTGATTTGGGGATTGATTGCAACTTGATAAACTGCAGAGTTGGTGTGTGGCGGCTGATGGACGCTCGTCACTATCCACAACGACATGATTTTTGGTATTCTCACCAGAACAAGTCACAATGCCCGATATTGATCTGAAGCCTTATTTGCTTCAAATGAATTCTATTAAATCATATTCCTCTGACAGTACGGTTGTCCACAGCGCATGTTCACATGCAAGCGGCGCCATCAATGCCGAGGACCTTGCCGTTGATCCAGGCGCCATCCTGAGAGGCGAGGAAGCAAACAACGCGAGCGATGTCGATGGGCAGACCAACACGGTGAACTGGGGACCAGCCGGCGGCGTATTCGTCCACTTCGTCGTCGGAAAGGGTGGCTCCGCCGGGGATGTACTCACGACAGACGGCGTGGTACATGTCCGTCTTGATGCCACCGGGCGCGACAGCGTTGACGGTGATCTTCTTGTCGCCAAAATCTACCCAAGTCAGTATATTCTGAATCCACTTGGGAAGGTGCACAGAGTTATAGACGAGGTGGACAGAAGGAACCTACCGATGGCCATGCAGCGGACAAATGTCTCAATAGTGCCCTTGGAGCCCGAGTAGACGGCGTGTTTCGGCACGGCCTTGGCCTGGCCGGTGATGGAGCCCATGAGAATGAGGCGCCCACCCTCTTCGAGGTGCTTGTACGCCTCGCGGGCAACGAAGAACTGGCCTCGCGTGTTGATGTTGAAGACGCGGTCGAACTCCTCCGGCGTGACGTCCTTGACGTGCCCGAAAGAGACGACGCCGCTGTTAGAGCAGACAATGTCGAGCTTACCCCAGGTCTTTACACCTTGCTCAAAAAGGGAGACGATCTCATCCACAACAGAGACGTTGGCCTTGATAGCGACGGCATCGGAGCCTGACTTTTTGATGGCTTGTACGACCTCCTCGGCTGACTCTGAAGAGTTGGCGTAGTTCACGATGACTTTGGCGCCGCGACGACCGAGCTCCATTGCCATCTCGCGCCCTATCCCACGACCTACTTCATGTCAAGGGTTCTGTTATTGAGCTTGGCGAAGGCTAGAGTTCTTACCGGCACCAGTGACTAGGGCGACCTTGCCCTCCAGCGAAGCGGAGGCCAGTCCCAGGGGTCCTGGGATGCGGTTGTAGAAACCGGGCTCGACGGTAGAGGTGGCGCCAGGCATTTTCACGGTGAAAGAATTTGCTTGGTAGAGTTGCGTGTGGTTAGGTACTGGAATACTGAGCTGATGCGTCAAAGTGGTGGTAGAGGATGAGATTGCCGAGTATGATGAGCGTTTACGAAGCAACTACGAAGCCGTTCGCCATCAATTAAGTATCAAATCACCAAGTTGTTGTCAACTCAAGCACAGTGAAGCTGTTCGGATGCCCGTGGAGAGGCCCGCGGACCTGAATGCAGGTCCACATGCGGGCTAACCGGACGTCCGTGAAACCACGACGCCTGGTGAGGCCTGAGTCGCACGACGCAACTGAGCAACCAGCTCAACAGGTACATTGACGCCAGACTGCCGATCGCACAGAGCAAGAAAATAAAGATTGACCAATGGCGGACGCTTATTGAATGTCCGGCAGCATTTTGTGAGGCGGACATCGCTGCCAGTGCCATGTCAAGATATCCATGCTTTCTTGTTGGACCTGATTGAGCTGCGTCGTTGAGAAAACCAGTGGATGCTAATTACTCCAGGACGCACCGCAAAGCGCCCTCAAGCCATCGTCAAACTTGGAACACTAAAATGACTGTCTTTTCTTCTTTAGACTGGCCGCTCCCTTGGTCCCAGATTGATGGTGCCCTTTGCATGATCAAGCCTGTAGGTCCATCTGGAACGGCCCCGGTACGCTACGGGACTCCACACGCCCACCCGGCCGGAAATATCTATAGAGAAACGTAGCATAGACGGCTGCACCGCCAACTATTCCCGCTATACAATCATATACAATCATAGGCGGCCATCCCAATCGGATCTTCCGATTAGATTCCGGCATAGCTTGATAGACATGCTGCCCTCAGTTGTCGAGCTTGCCGGGCTTACAATTCAATTAAAAGAGTTCTTGGGGTCAGAGCCCAACAAGGCGTGATGCGAAATTCAGCTTGGAGCTGCTCCAGATGGTCGCATAGCGGGCCAACAGCCTGTCACGCAGTTGGCGTTCTCGGCGGCATGGGCTGCTGAGCCACTTGGCTGAATCATGGCTTTCGGCCGAGATTGTGTGACTTCAGCTGCAAACTGGTCATGTGCGATGGCTCTCGTTGGCGATTGATTGTGCAGATAGTTTGGCGAATTGGTAAGCATTCGTCTTTGATCTTGTCGACTGACTTGGGGAGACCCTGCTGATGTCGTCGACTCCGGTTTTTACGGATGGCCCATACTCTCCATGTACCTTGATTCACGTCTAGTGGTTGCCGAATGATAGATTTGGGCCATGGATCAAAGAGCGTGTAGAAACGGTGGGAGTGACGAGTGATGTGTCTGGGATCTACAGCTGGGCGCAGGGGCCGCTTCGTCACAAATCATGTGCGGAAAGTAACGACTGATTCTACATACCCTGAGGCCATGTGATAGAATTCCTTGCGTAAGATTTTGTGACGTACTTGTTGATATTGGTATAGGCTGCTGTGGGAGGAGTCAGCTGTCAGAAGCCCCTAGAGCCGGATTCGAAGAAGTTGCAAGTCGTCGAGCTGGCCCCAAAAGAACCGTCCTGCAAAGACCGACTTGCATATTGATAGTAAATACATGCCATTAGCTCGTCTTGATGGGCAGTGCACCCCGTACGAGGGGACGGTCCCAGGGGACTCTGCCATGCAGCACCTCGTCAGATTCAATGAAGTCCAAGACAAGTCCACGTTTGAAGCTGGCAGCCGTTCCGTAATCCGTCAGGTAGTTCTTCACGAACTCAAATGGATAGAACCAGCGTGCCAACAGATAATCGCGCCAAGTCGCCCATGCTTGCAGCCGCGTCGACTGTGACGCCACAGCGTAGTCTCTTGCCACCGGCTCGCGCCTTTCCTCCTGGTATCTCTCCAACGTGTTCACAAACAACGTGTCGTCGAACAAGCCACGTCGGGTTTGCGCAGAAAGGACGTGAAGATGATTCACCAAGGAGACAACATCTTGTATACCCGCATTGAGTCCAAGCCCAGCGTTGGGGGTGAATCTATGGCACGCATCCCCTACGAGGGCGACTCGGCCGGCAAAACTCCACGTTTCTGCCGCAGCGACACCTTCTCCAAGGTTATTCATCCCCGAGACAAAAGTTGGTTTGTTCATGATGTCGCTGATATTGAGCTTCTCATGAACGTGCCAATCGCCGAAGCTTTGCGCAAACGCGTTTGCATCTTCGGGGCTGTATGTTACCTTCTTTGCTGATGTCACCGGAAGCCTTTCATACAAGAAAATCCAGGCCTTTTCCTTGCCTGTCAGGTACATGGCTGATCGATTGTGACCCTGTATCTCATAACTCTCGCCAATGTCCGTCTCTCGCTTGAATGAACCCCATAAACATTTGTAAGTGGCCGGGAAAGGGTCCTCTGCGTTGCTTGTGATATCATTGGCAGAATCGAGTGCATTTTGGCCGCTCACAGTCTGCAGAAGGTCGAGCCTGAGATCCCGTATGATGGTGCTGATCCTGGAGTGGACACCATCAGCACCAATGATTAGGGACCCAGTGTACAACGATCCATCGTCACAGTGTGCAGTTGTGCCAGAAGGAGAGATGTCAATACCCGTGACTCTCTTACTGACAAAATACTGAGCCTTGGCTTCATCTGGTAGTGCGTCGAACAGTAGTCTCAGCAGGACGGCACGATGGAAGATGATCAAGCCCGAGCCGTGGCTGCATCGCGTTAGACATCGAAGGGTCGCATGTCAAACAAAGACTTACTTGTCTCGTATCCTAGAAAGAGCATGCGTTCTCTTGAAGCTTTTGCGTGCTGGGTCGAAACTTTGAGAGAGATGAAGTAGTGGAGCGCCGTGATCGATAAGCTTGTCCAAGATGCCTAGCTGGCCAAGCACCCTCAAATTCTGAGGAGTCAAAACAAGACTTGCTCCAGTGTCTGCAAAGACGTCTCGTCGTCTTTCTAGAATGGTGAAGTCGATGCCAGCGCGGTAGAGTGCGTGTGCAGCGACGATGCCACAGGGGCCGCCCCCGACAATAATGACTTTAAGTGGACTCATCGGGTTGATCAATGACTGGGAAGTGACCTTGCAATACGGGTGGGCGTGCTATCACTACTTGCTTGTGGTGCTTGACCGAGTTATGAAGGAGCTGGTCTTGCTCTTGCGAGAGCCATTGTCACGATTGCGCTACATCCCTGACGGATGTCGCCATTGTGGTACTGGGGTCATACGAGTCAGCTTATCAGACCGACCTCGGCGAAGACTCACAATAACGTGCACATCGTACATCTGGACCATACTGGCATGGCCTCTTTCTTCAGCACGGATGAGGTGGAAAAAGATGTTGCCATGGTAGACGCCTTTTGAAGTATCATGATAGTTTACACACTGAACATCATATTACTACAGAAGAGCCCGGATTGGCCTGAACCCCATGTTCTTTATAGCAGGGCGGAAAATAAAACGATGATCAAGTACGACTCCTCGTTCCATATTCTACTTTATAACACGCATTTGCCTTGCTTCATGTGCGCGATTGTATCCGCTAGAGTCTGATCTGCCTCAGGTGATAATTAATGGAAAAGAGTATCATAATACACAAGGGTTCCAAGCTTCCATCGGAGCAATACATCCAATTGTATACTATACTAGACACATTGTTAACCTGTCCGATGACCGTTTCTTCGACAGTGTTGACTTCATCGATATCCGGTGTCTCTTGCTGGCAATCTGATCCACCGTGCGTGAGAGCGCGTAGTGAGGCGTCCGCACACTATCAAAGAGTTCGAGCGCGCAGTTTAGGCTGGAGCTGGGCAGAGGCCCATTCCAGAGCTTCAGCTTAAAAATGGGCATCTTTGAGGGCAAACGCGGTTCTGGCTTTGAAAGCGCTGGATAGAGGATGTGAGGCGTTTCGGAAGAGAACGATGTTTCCTTCACGAACAAAAAAGCCATAGGACTGGCACAGAACTAGTTGTAGCGCTTCAGATTGGAGATCAAGCGCAGAAGCGCTACTGCACTGGTCTATATCACTCGTCAAATGTCTCACGGAGGACCACAGGGTCAACCTCACGGCCCCAGGTGGACCGCTCGGTAGCAGAGGAGCCCGTCGCTCGCACCCGAGAGAAGCACACACGCAGTTACCGAGCTATCCAAACGATGATATGGTGAAGCAAACAATGTCGCAATTTGTACTAAAACATGCCCACGGTCAAGCTCAATGCTCGACATCGACCGAGCTGTCTCATCAGCCGACACTTGACTTACCTACGGAAGTCCTACATAGCTGGGCACTGAAGCATAAATAGGGGAACATGCCGAGCTATTCATTCTGCAGCCTATGGGCAAGGCACTCTCGGATCTCCTAAAATGGAGTCCACAGAGCACGAAAAAAGCTCCTGGGCCAGTTCGCCGAAGAACCCCATGGTACCATCCTTGGCCCCGCGTTATTCGGTAACGACGATCTGGAAAGCAATTAAGAGAGCCCCAATACCGTCCTCTCATTGAAAGATACCTGGCGAGAGTCCCTTAATTCGGCCGCAAGTACACCACGGTGATCGGAGCCGTCAGTGGCATGGCCCTCATCTTTAGCTTTACTGGCTTCAAGACACGAGCTCAAAACGCGGGAATCAGCTGTGCCCGTAGCAAGTGCTCCGTGACGATGTTTCCCTATCACCGATTGGCTGTGGCCAGATTGCTGCATGGCCGTATACTACAGCACTCTATGTACCTACACAGTCGAGGTCTTGCCCTCGTCCCACTGCACGACGGGCAACGGGCTCGCATCATCGTGCAATCGCATCATGGACATTGTGTCTGCCGTTGTAGCCTCTTCTGGAAATACATCAACTGTGGTGCCTCTCTGTGCGCGCGCAGCATTCTTCGGCTGTCTTGAGTCCGACTGCAGCCGTGTTTCCCTTTGAGCCGCAGGGCTGACGAAGCTCTTGATGACAGTGCTGCGACCCAGGGTCTGAACCGTAAAGAGTCAATAGCTCCGCTCTAGGTGTCACGGAAAGGAACTACTCAGCACCAACCCAGCAGCTAAAAAGAAATGGGAGAAAAAAAATATGGAAGCCTTGGAAATTGAGTAGGTATGTGGTTTGTGAGATTTATGGGAAAGGACTCCGCCAAGGCCAAGAGACTCATCAGTCTCTAGAATATTGAAAACCACCATGCATACTTGAATCCAACAAGGGCAAACCTCACAGCCTCGGACTTGGAGATTGGGGTCGGAAAGACTTCTGGTGGGAAGAATCTAATGATAGATCCAAGCTGAGCTGCAATGCGGCTGCTGATCGTGGGTGACAAGTCTCAGCCACAGCACACCAACGGGCAAGAGCCAACTGACGGCGTCGATCACCACCGGCCGGCAGTGCCTTCCCCCACTCCCACACCTTCCAATGTTCCCACACCTCTTTGTCTCGCCTCATCACGAGTCCCCAAAGGCTGCACTCCGCTCCCAACACCGCAGTTTGTCGTTGCCAACTCACCGCTGCTAGATTCTCATCACGTTGTACAATCCTTTTCCTTCTTCCAAACTCTCGCCTGTCATCGCCAAGTAAGCACAGTCAGACCCAGACAAGACCGCCGCCACACACACCTCTGCCTCGCTTGCATCCTGCGCCCTCATGGCCATATCATCACCGTGGAGGCTCTGGCTCGGGCTCGTCCCTTGCCATGCGCACCAACCAACATACATCAGGTATGCATGGGTGAGCAGCATCGCGAGTCGGCTCGCCCTTGGCTCTTGGAAACATAACTGACGACGGCCCAACAGCCGCTGCTTCCGCAGTCCGCCTCGCTTCCCAGCCAGCCAGCACCTCGTGTCAACATTTCCTGCTTTTTGCTCGTCTAGTCCCAACTGTCTGGCTTTCGCCTCCACCAGCCGACATATTGGACATGCACAAGCAATGGCTGCACCCTTCCCGTGGCCCCCTCCCCCGGCTCTCTTCCGTCTCTCTTTCGTGGCTTCATCCCAAGCGGATCGCCCCCGCCCTCCCGTCTGAGACCTCCATCGCTGCGGCCCACGGCCACCAGTATTCCTCATAACCCCCGACAGAAATGTCAAGCTGCCCTTTTGAGGGCTACATACCATCCTGACCCCTCTCATCCCACATCTCTGAAACGCCGACCCGACGATCTGGTTGCTCCTCTCTTTGGCTCTATCCAGCGCAGGGCTCGCTCTGGCTGCAATACGGCCAAATACTGTATGCTCACGCCATCGCCATGTCAAGCAACCAGTATGACAAGGGCGGGCTGGGCCTCTCTTGTCCCGAAGGCGGCCACTTCTACATCTGTGAGGGGGATACCACAGAGTTCATCGGATGCTGCAACTCAAACCCCTGCGGCGACAATGACGGCAACTGTCCTACAAGCGACCTCCGTGTCTCCTCCTTCTCATCCGACCGCTACGCCAACATACCCGCCCAGAGCTGCGATGATGCCCGCGGGGCTCGCATCTGGTGGACGTGCCGGGACAACAAGCCGCCCTTCCTGGGCTGCTGCGCCAGCAACCCCTGCGGCGAGGGCTGCCCGCAGGACCACCTCATCGCCGCCGTCCTGTCGCCCAGCGATGAAGACCGGCTGCCGTTCCTGCCATCGCCAGCAACGACGACGTCGGTCTCTAGCCCGCCCGCCTCGTCATCGACTTCGAGCCCAAGCGGCGGGGCCGGGAGCGGCGGTTCGTCAGGACTGTCGAGCGGTGCTATTGCCGGTATCGCCATCGGTGCCGCTGCCGGAATCGCTATCCTAGCCGTCATCATCTGGGCTTGCTTTCGACGCGCACGGAAGAGTCGAGAGGAGGGCCACACGGAACAACCCACGTTCAGCCCGGAAATGGGCTCTCAAGGTTCGCCCTTTGATAAGACTCGACGTAGGTACCCTCGTATTTCATTTGACCTTTTGTCGTCACAGTCCAGAAAAGGAAACAGAGCATGCCAATACGAACCGTGCTGACCATTCCCAGAATCTCAGCTCAGTTACGCAACAACAGCAATACCACCCTCATACGGCTCGACACCCGGCTCGCCAGAGGGACAGTCCCAGGATGCGCATTACATACATTCACCAACCTCGACGACTCGGACCTACTCGCCCTACAGCCAGCATAAAGATGTCGTGGGTACACATTCTCGCCACATTAGTGTCGTATCCGGCGTGTCTGCCTTGTCTGGAGGCATCGAGTCGAACCTGCACACCGTATCGGAGATTGACGGCATTGAGCGGCAGGCACCCGTGGTTGAGCTGCCAGCTGATGAAGCGCCGCTGAACACACAGATTTCGTCGTCGCCGTCGCCGCCGCCGCCGTTGGGGTCACCAGGGTGGCCTTCGTCAAGGGGGGTGGAGGCGCCGGGCAGTCCGGGGCGGTGGACGACGAGGTAACATGACGACGGCAATGGAGTGATGGATATTTAATTGCTTGGAATTAGGGGAAAATAGCTTGATACCAATTGTAATAACCCACCTGCCGTACGGCAGGTATTCTCAATCGTCCGAGGGGAATGTTTGCGTCTCGCTTGTCCAATGGATTTGGGAGGATGATAACTCATTTTCATTTCGGAGCATTGAACTACGTCCTAGTACGTGTGTAACTTCCGAGTCTAATGGCGCAAGCCACTCCGTCGTTCTCTCTCATCGTACCATATTGCAGCCTTCATTCTATCATTAATCATTTCGCCTCGTCAAAGTTGGGCGAGTCGTAAATATCATCCGGATCTGCCTCCAATTAGTTCAGCGCTCACAGAGTGCGTGCACACGGCGAAGAAAGCTGACCTTTGCCCTCATTGTTGATGAAGTCCCGAATCGTCTCAACGCGGCCATCGATCTCTTTCAACAGTCGGTCCAGCTCCGTCTTCACCTTGTCATTGAATGCGGCCCCGCCGCGAAGCGCCCTCGCCGCGACGTCAAACCGACTGACGCAGTTGACGAGCATCATGTCAAACGGCGTCGTCGTGCTGCCCTCCTCGCGATAGCCCTCAATGCTGATGCGGTCCATGTTCGGCCGGCCGAAAAGCAGGCCCTGCAGCTCGGTGGCGTAGCCGTGGTAGTTGAAGCATACGGGCCTGTCGGCGGTGAACATGGCTATGAACTCGTCGCGCGTCAGGGAGTGCGGGTGGCGCGACTCGGCGACGAGGACCATGAGGTCCGTGACGTTGACGATGCGGATCTTGAGCGACGGGGCCAGCGTGCGCAGGAGCTCGGCGGCCTTGACAACTTCAAAGGTCACCTCGACGCCGATGCCGACGAGGACAACGTCGGGTTGGTCGCCCTCGGCGAGTGGGGTGGAGGCGAAAGGCCAGATGGAGGCGCCGGCCTGGCAATGCTTATCGGCGTCTTCGGGGGAGAGGAAGGTTGTAGTCGGCTGCTTGGAGCCGATCATGAGGTTTACGTAGTTTTTGGACTTCAAACAGTGGTGGACTGTGCTAAGGAAGCAGTTGGCGTCGGGGGGCAGATAGACCTTGGGTCTTGTTAGTGATGGTCCCAAGGGAGGGAATCTTGATGGGACTTGCTCTTGCGGCCTCGGCCTTGATGTTCAGGACGGCTCCGATGAATGAGGGGTTCTGGTGGGAGAAGCCGTTGTGCTCCTGGCGCGCCCAGGTGCTCGTTTCGATGTAGTTGATCGATGCCAGGTCACCGCGCCAGTCAAGCGACTGAGCGATCTTGCTGAACTTGGCGTACTGGACCATCATCGTATGGACGATTCCTTTGAACGTGTTAGTCATACTTGAACGAAGAAATACAGGTGTTCAAATACCTAAGAACGATTCATAGCTGGGAAACAGAGCGACTCGTCCGGTGAGCGTGTAGCCCTGCATGAAGCCCTGGCAGCAGTGCTCTGACAGAATCTCAATGACGCGGCCCCCCTTGTTCCTCGAAAACTCGTCCCACTGGAAGTTGCGCCCCGTATGTTCGAGAACAGCTCCAAACTTGTTGCTTTCCAGCTCGTCGGGTGAGAACATGCGGAAGGTGTGCGGATTGTGTTGGATGACCCGGTCAAGGAACTTAGCCGTCGCCTCCATCTCGCTGTTCTGGTGGCCGCGTTCGACGCCGAATGACTTCCAGTCAGGAAGATCTAGACCGATGTAAGGCTCATGTGTTGGCTTGAACTGGCCAAGTTTCTTCGCGTCCGTTTTGGGGAGAATGTCGAGGATGGTGTTGTTCGGCTTTCCGTCGGTTAAGAGATCGTTAATCTTGTAGTGCGACAGCCACTCCTTGAGATTGCGGAGATGGCTCTCGTCCGTTTTGGCCTTCTTCAAAGGAACCTGGTGCGAGTTGAACGATCCTTCGACAATCTTACCGTCAACCTTTTTGGGTCCGCTCCAGCCCTGGAATTGTGAGTAAGTTGCGACTTTGATAAATCTTTGAGATGGGAGTTCCTACCTTCGGGGTCCTCATCACCAGCATGGGCCATCGGGGCTTAGAAATTGGCTCTCCAAACCGCGCAGCCTTTTGGATCTTCTTAATCTCAGAAAGTGCCCACTCCAGTGCGTTTGCGAGGTCTTCGTTGATATTGGCGAGGTCCTGGACAATGTAGACCTGGTAGCCGTAACCGCTGAAAAGCGAAACTATCTCCTTGTCGTCCATGCAGCCAAAGATGGTGCGCTCGCTAATCTTGAAGCCGTTTACATGGAGGATGGGAATGACGGCGCCAGACTCTTTTGGGTCAATATACTTGATGGCGTGCCAGGCGCTGCTCAAGTTAGCTTTCAGGTTGCAAATCAATGTGGCTCCCGAGAAAGACTCACGCTGCAGTAGGTCCGCTCTCCGCCTCACCATCTCCCACCACGCAAGTGACAATCAGGTCAGGATTGTCCATGACGGCACCAAAAGATACCCCCAGAGCATAGCCGAGCTCGCCGCCCTCGTGGATGGAACCGGGCGTCTCCGAATTGATGTGGCTGGGAAAGCCTCCAGGCACAGAAAACCCGCTGATAAGGTTCGAGAGACCCTTCTTGTTGACGGGATATTGTTTGGGATAGAAACGCTCGAGGGAGCCCTCGAGCCAGAGAGAGGCCAGGGCGGCAGGCGCTCCATGGCCGGGACCGATGACATAGATCATCTCGAGGTCGTGGTTGCGGATCAAGAGATTGAGGTGTGACCAGACCAGAATGAGGCCGGGACACGTCCCCCAGTGACCTTGAGGTATCAGCATCAGTTGAGGAGTAACGGCGGAAGGGCCTTACCGAGGAGTCGTGGCTTGACGTGATCGAACGTGAGGTCTGACTCGAGGAGGGCATTGTCCTGCAGGAAGATCATAGCAGCCGCGATGTAGCAGGCGGCATTCTGGAAGTCTTCAAGTGATTGGGCTACATCTTTGTCAAGTGGCTTTCTCTGGAGCTTGACTGCAAGGTTCAGGACCTCGTCAGGCAGCTGTGACGGCAGCGCCGATGGATTGGGACGGTCGATGACCTCTCCCGGCATTGTGAAACGCGATGATGTGGGCGACTGATTCGTTGAAGGATTGATTGGCCACTTGCAATGAACGAACGCCTACTCAGTTTGTCTTGAAATTATGGTCTGTCAATGATGAATTTCGGTAAATGGGCCAGTGGCAGGGTGGGATTCGATGGCTTGGGTGAATGATCTTCAAGAACACACTGCTGGTGAGATAGAGCGACACGGTTTTTCGGCATGGAGAAACGGCTTCCTCGGAAGCCAGATACCCAGTCTGGCTGGACTGGCTATGGTTCACGTTGTTGATAATGGAGGGAGGTTGAGCAGCGATGACGTCGATGTGGAGGGATAGAGAGCAGGCTGGAGGCGTTTTCTCGAGCTACCACAGCCAGTCAGGACAAGCACGCTCTGTACTCCGGACTTGGCAGTCAATAGTCGCAGGTGGAATTTGGCAACGAGATCGGGATGGAAAGGGAACCCCATAACGTGAGGGCCCTGTTCCCAAATGATTGAGCCATGACGGCGGTGGCCTGGTTGCGTGGGATACACCTCAACCATGATCGTGGCGATGGTGGACAACAAGGGAAAGCTACAGGGGACGGTGCAGCTGTGCCCCTCGCTAAGCCTCGATAGGACTAGCGCTGATGCGCGCTGGAGCTTCAGGCCCGCGCGTCACTCGACGACTGTTCTAGGGTACCTACCTTGAGAACTCGGGTAGGATGCTCCTGCTACATAGCAGATTGACTCGGTGTGCGTCGGTGTAGCTTCCTAGGTTCACATGGCGCGGTGTGGAGCCTTCGGACCAAACGCCCCGGGTCCGGCCCCTCTTCACCTGTCCACCATCGACGAAATACCATGCACACGATTGCAAACACCCATTTGTGACATCAGCATTGCGATCTCGATGCTCGACAGCCCACCATCCTGCAACTGCCGTGTCCCACGTCCGGACGAGATAGTTCTTTGTCAATTGAAAGCATTGCATCTCCGTATCGAATCACAATGTTGCTGTTACCAATCTCCACCCTCGAAGCATCGATGGCGCATCAAACGAGGCATGAGGATGCCCACTGGGACGCGGTCCCAGAGAATCATTGACGTCAACCTTGTGTCTTTCGTTCTCTGTGATACTTCTCAGGCTGTCCATTTAATCACAACGCCGCTCCTACCAAACCAAGGTGGTGCCGTGTAAATCATCCTCCGCAGAATCAGTTCTTCCACGCACTACCACTTAGTCCAGGCAACCCCTTCCTTCGGTCAGTCTTGGCATACCAGAATGGCTCACGTTTCTCAACCTGCTCTCTCTGAAGGCCTCAAGAGGGTACAAGAATCCATCATGGCATCCGCAAACACCGCCACTGGTGGTTCCAACAGCACCAGCAACCCTAAGATCGCCCAGCTTGAGGAGCATTCCAGGACGCCCGCCCAGGACTCGCGGCTCACAACCGACTACGGCGTCAAGCAGAACAACACAGATGATTGGCTCCGTATTGTGAGCGACGACCATACTGGTCCGGGACTCCTCGAAGATAACGCTTCTCGTGAGAAGGTCCGTCAAGTTTGCTTTCCCAGCTCACTCCTGCAGCTGACTTTAACCTCTGGCTAGATCCACCGATTCGATCACGAGAGGATCCCAGAAAGAGTTGTTCACGCAAGGGGTGCAGGTGCACACGGTGTCTTTCGCCTGAAGGAGGCCATCCCTGAACTCACCCACGCCGGATTCCTTACCGACACGTCTCGCGAGACACCCATCTTTGTCCGCTTCTCTACAGTCCTCGGTAGCCGCGGCAGTGCCGATACTGTTCGTGATGTTCGAGGATTTGCTATCAAGTTTTACACCCAAGAAGGCAACCATGATATTGTTGGAAACAACATTCCCGTTTTCTTTATCCAAGGTTGGTGGCTTCCTTCTTTTCGCAGTCCAGCGATCAAAGCTAACGGGACTTCCATAGACGCCATCAAATTCACCGATGTCATCCATGCAAGCAAGCCCGAGCCTGACAATGAGGTCCCTCAAGCCCAGTCCGCCCACAACAACCACTGGGATTTTGTTGCACTGTAAGTTTGTCTCTTCTAGTGAGGTCTATTGGTCAAGGCTGACAGACGCTAGCCACACCGAGGCAACCCACATGTCGCAGTGGACTATGAGCGACCGCTCGATTCCTCGTTCATACCGCATGATGCAGGGATTTGGCGTCAACACCTACACCCTCATCAACGACAAGGGAGAGCGCCACTTCGTCAAGTTTCACTGGACACCTGAGCTTGGCGTCCACTCCCTCGTGTGGGACGAGGCCCTCAAGTTGGCCGGCCAGGACCCCGACTTCCACCGGAAGGACCTCATGGAGGCCATCGAGAATGGCGCGTACCCGAGGTGGAAGTTTGGTATTCAGGTGCTGCCCGAGTCGAGAGAGCACGAGTTTGACTTCGATATCCTCGATGCCACTAAGCTCTGGCCTGAAGATGATGTGCCCATCCGCTATATCGGAGAGCTCGAGCTCAACCGCAATGTCGACGAGTACTTCCCCGAGACTGAGCAGGTCGCTTTCGCCACTGGCCATGCTGTTCCTGGCGTAGGCTTCTCCGATGACCCCCTTCTGCAGGGCCGAAACTTCTCCTACTTTGACACCCAGCTCTCGCGCCTTGGCGTGAACTGGCAGGAGCTTCCCATTAATAAGGCCGTCTGCCCCGTCATGAGCAACAACAGGGATGGCGCAATGCGTCACACCATCACCAAGGGCAAGGCTAACTATTGGCCCAACCGCTTTGAAGCGAACCCTCCAGCGGCCAAGGCTGAGGGTGCGTACATTGAGTACCAGCAGAAGGTAGCTGGCATTAAGGCGCGCACCAAGAGCGCCAAGTTTAAGGAGCATTACAATCAGGCTCAGTTGTTTTACAACAGCATGTCTCAGGTGGAGAAGAACCACATGGTCGCTGCCTTCTCCTTTGAACTCGACCACTGCGATGATCCCGTTGTCTACGAACGATACACTCAGCGCCTCGCCGACATTGATCTCGGCCTCGCTCAAGCCGTCGCCGAGCAGGTTGGTGGTCCTATTCCCCAGAAGGCCGGTCGTCCGAACCACGGTAAGAAGGCCAGTGGCCTCAGCCAGTTTGATTACATGCCGTCGACGCCAACGATAGCCTCGCGCCGCGTCGCCATCGTCATCGCCGACGGCTACGATGCCACAGCCTTCAACGCCGCCAAGGCCGCCGTCACAGCTGCGTCGGCACTGCCCTTCGTCATCGGTACCCGCCGCTCTGAAATTTACCCTGCCGGTGCCGAAAAGAAGCCTGGCAACGGCGTGGTGCCGGCGCACCACCTTGAGGGCCAGCGGTCGACCATGTTTGACGCCCTCTTCATCCCCGGCGGTGAGGAGTCATTTAAGACTCTGCGCAAGAGCGGTCGTGCCATGCACTGGATTCGCGAGGCGTTTGGACACCTCAAGGCCATCGCCGCCACGGGCGAGGCCGTCGAGCTCGTCAATGCTGCCATTGCGCTGCCGGAGATCAAGGTCTCGCAGGGTGGAGTTGAGGAGAACTACGGCGTCATCACACTGAAGGACGTCAAGCATGACAGTCTCAAAGAGAAGGCCGAGATTGCTAAGGACGGTGCTGGATTCCTCGAGCAGTTCTTCTATGCCATTTCGCAGCATCGTGCTTGGGCGCGTGAGCTCGATGGGCTGAATGTCCAGGTAGCCTACTAGAGAGGAGTCGGAGTGACTTTCCTAATACCCCAGATTTTCAAAGTGTCTGACGTCTGACGGAGAAGTTTGCCTGATATGATGTCTGTGACCGTACCAATCCTCCAGGAAAGGCATTATGTATGCTTCATGAACTATTCAACATATGAGTTAAAAGGGTATCTGATCATTTACACCATACGCAAGACTGCCTGTCAACTGTAAAGACTCCTTTCCCCAGCGCTAAAATCCCAAATACATCGTGTGTTTCGTCTTAGCCGTTATTCATGTTGTCCATATTGTAATGCATGGGCATGACCGTCATGCCATCTCCATATAGCACATTTGTATCATGCATCTGTAGTGACCCGTGCTGTTGCGGATGCTGCTGCTGATGTTGTTGGTTTGTGCCAGGTTGCTGTCCCCAGAACATACCGTCTAGATCCCACATCCAATCCTGCTCCATGAAAGCAGCGACCTCCATATCCGTGTCAAGCCGAATGGGAGACATGCGGAAGTCAAAGTCCACCGCCGTCTGTCCCATTCCACCCGTCGATCCATACAGATTGCTCATGTCGCCCTGAGCTACGGGGTTGGCGCCCATCAATTTAGCTGCTGCTGTCGGAGACGGCTGAACCTCTTCGTTCTGACAACTCGCTTCGTACACACGCCTCACAACCTCTCGGCTTCGACACGCTGTCAGCGACCAGTCTCCGACGGCGTCGAGGATCTCGAGTGTTGTCTCGATCTGGCTCCTCCACGTGTCCGCCTCTGTGTTGCCCGGCTGCCAGCACAGTCGAAGCAGTGGAATCATGGCAGCCTGGTACAAGAACCAAGCAGCGTTCCAGCCCAGCATCTGGTTCCGCGTCCACTCCTTCGCGATGTCCTCAATCGTCTGCGCCGCCATGTCAGAGCACGTGTTGATCGACGCAAGGATCTCCTCGTCGTTGAGCACGCCCGACCCAGGCGACGTCCCCGCGTCGGCGGACGACGACACGGACGACGGCGCGTGCGAGGCGCGCCGGTGCGACCGCGCCGGCACCGGCCGCTGCTGGCTCGCGGCCCAGGTGAGGAGCACGGGCCGGTGGAGCAGCATCCTGAGGTTCTGGTAGCGCCACTTCATGACGCAGCGGGCAATGTACAGCGGCTCGGCGCAGGGCTGCGTCGTGCCGAGCAGCCAGGGCAGGCTCTCGTACCAGGTCACGAGCTGCGTGTCCATGCTCTGGCGGTCGTCGGTCGAGGGCAGCGAGCTCGCGGCGAGGGTGTCCTGGATCTGTGTGGCGATTCGGCAGAACTTGATGTTTTCGATCATGGGGAGCACGCCGGCGTGCTGTGCTGACTCGGCGGCCTTTGTGAAGCAATTCCGTCAGCCAAAAAGAAAAATGGCATAGCGCGGGGACGAATGATTAGTACGAGGCGACATACCTGACTGATGCCCAGCTCGGGAGACCGGATGTTGATCCCAGGCCCCCGGCGCCCAAAGGAGGGACGGCCCATGGTCGTCGTCGCCCATGTGTCGAGGCAGAACAGGGACCACCATGTCCTCCTCCTGATCTCAGCAGCAAGTACATCTGTTTCTGACAGGCCCTGCGCAAGGGATTCTCGGTGGAGACCCAGTGCACTCGCCATGCGGACGGCGGCTCCGAGAATCGCGTTGGCCATGTTGGGGCGGTTGATGTAGTGCAGATAAAAGCCTCCGATAATGGCCAGAGCCTGGACCGTCTCGACGCGGCTGGATCCGAAAGAATCAATGGTGAGGTGAGTCATGGCCTGCTGGTACAGCTGTTCGTGATGGAGGTCGCTCGACTTGGTGGCTGCGATGCTGCCCATGGCCAGCACAGCGTGCAGCAGGGCCAACCACGGCGAGTCGACGCGCTGACCAAGGGAGTAGTCGGCACGGAAGCTTGCCTCGTCGAGCATCGGAATGAAGGCGTGAACCCGCTTGAAGTAGGCGTCGACAAAGGTCTGACCGCGCCATGTCCACGGCACTTTTGCTGCTGGTTTTGACTCGACGGCCGAGGCGCGGCGCATGGCTTCGGGTTGAACGGCGATGGCACCTGTGGCAGCCGCCATGTTGCGAGGCGTGGCGAGGGCATTTCTGAGCTGCGGTTTAAGCTTGAGCATCACCATGAGAACCGCCTTGACGGACGAGGCCCCCAGGTACGATGCCCGCTTGTCCATTGTCAGTGATAGGGCGTTGACGTCGTCCGATTCGACGGGAATGGGTTCATGTTCGCGTCGCTCTTCATCCCATTCCGAGTCCTTGGTCGGCATCTGCTCAAGCTCGGCAGCACCAGGCTCGACCTCTTGGTCGAGTGATTCCTCGTCATCCTCAAGTGGTGAGGGATTGGCAGGCGGGGATGGCAGCACCGCCTCGTCATGAGGTTTCGTGGGATGTCGCAACAGCTCCAGGAGTTCTTCTCGCGTCAGTGGTAGTAAATCGAAAATCTCCTGGTTCGGGAAAAGACGATTGATGACGGATCGGCATTCTTCCAGCGACTGTGACAGATTCTCAAGAACTCTGCGACAAGCTCGCGTCAGCAACTGCGGGGCGCCACGATCGACAATAGACGATCCGCATAACAAGATTTGGAGGGGGGTCACGTACTTCCTTGATGGCACGACTCGGGGTCGGTGCTTGTCGTAGAAGCACTTCTTTGGCACCCGCGTCGAGATACACTGTCGGCACGGGTGCTGGCCGTCGCAGCGAATTTTCCGTCGCTTGCATTCGGCGCAGGCTTTGGAGACCTTGACCGTCTTGGTGTCTGAGGCATCAAGACCGCCCAACTGGCTGGCTGACGCCGGGTGACGGCCTCCCTCAACCTGAACTGCGTGTGGATCTGTGTCAGAGGACGAGACCCAAATCGAAGGGCATGGAAAGCCTACAGTTGTGATACATGTCGTCGCCGTTTTGTCACAAGTGGAGATATCGTACCATGAATAACGAAGTTACAAAGGCTGAGCGAAGTGTCCAAGGGGAGGCGAACGACCGAATGAGGGCTCACAATTGAGCTGACTTGAGAGTTGTAAACCAGAAGATGAGACTGGAAAGGACGTATCAGGGCAGTGTCCCCATTTTTTTCAGGGAGAGGTAGCTCGGTCGAAGGGGAGTCGAGTGCTTCACATCACGCTGAGGGTTGGTCTCAAAGATGAAGAAAAGGAGGGGGAAGCGTGTCGAATGACTTTATTCGACAGTGTCTGCTAGGTCCCTGGCCTCCTCTCTAGCTCTGGTTCGGCATAAGCTCGAAAATTGAGGGGTGTCGGTGGGGAATCTGGGGTACATGAGAGACGGTACGGTTCGGATAGCCGACAACCCCTGAGGTGCGGAGAAGATGGCAGCGATGCGTCCCGCTGGTTGAGCTTTGTTTCCGTCGTGAGGGGAAGCCTGGCAGTGGCCTCGTGTGAAGAATTGAGAACCCTGAACTGCAGCCACAGACCGTTGTCGAGAAACCTTGCATGCTTCCACCGAGGCCTCGGGGGCGTGTGCCTCGGACTAAGCCGCCTAGAGCGGAGATGATGCGGCAGAGATTCAGTCCTGCAGACTTAGCCTCCTCCCAAGACTCGTCACCTGAGCAGAATAAGCCCACGCCGTCCAAAGTCGTGAGGCCCGCGTCGCCGATGCACAACTCCAAATGAACCAGCCTTTACCCTGCATGTTGGCTGCACGGGAGGCGGCTGGTAGGCATCGTCGCTTGGCCGGGCACAAGACGCTAAGCCTATATCGAGTGCGGATATCCTCTCTCCGCTGTCTCAATAAGGTAAGACGCCAAAAGATGTGCCACCATGTTGGGTCGATAAATGATGCGGCGGCAAATCTGACGACAACATTCGGGCGAGGTGGCATGTTGCCTGGTCTGGTTTGCCTCTTCGCGTCGTCGTTCCGACGTTTCTTTGTTGCTCAGAAGAGTGTGCAGGATCTCGCATACGAAATCTTCTCTCCTCCATGAGAAAGACTCCAAGTCCCGTTGCTGGTAAAACAGTCATGCTCAGAAACACAGAGGACCCAAAGGACAAGGTCGTTCTGGCTGGCATCTCCACGCTTTGCTGTGGAGTCGAACAAATAAACGGCGGGGGAAACGCAAGGGTTCCTTGAACTACTCAACGCGCCTCCCGCAACCTGGATGTCCGAATCAAAGTGACCCTTGAGCGGACTCATTTTTGGTGGTGGAGAATGAAATTACAGATGGCCGTGGTTCTGGCCTGTGGCTGAGCCACACAATCGGCATGACTACAAATGGTCTTTTCGGAGCAGCTCCAGAATGTTCTTTGACTCGTTGATCGCGGAACACAGTAGTGATCAAGGGACAGGAGAAGAGGCTCTCGGCTTTCTTGCTACACCCAGCTATATCGCTAGCAATGCGTCTGGTGGTGTTCTGTTTTGATTCCACAGTCTGTATTTTTCCAAGCTCGACAGCTCCCCTTTCCGATCTGCGAAGCGACTACCGGAGTTTGGTGCCACCTTCTTCGTACATTTGCCATCTCTTCACAATGATAGGCCCGGCGCTACCTGCTTTACGGACTGCCGCCGGCGCCGGGGGAGGTGCCTGCGGATTGGAAGATGTGTTCTGAATTGTCTCCAAAACTTCGTCCCTGCGGAAGAGACTTCCCAAACTGCCGCTGACGGGTTCGTGGCGTGTTTGGAGAGGGTAGTATTTTGGAAGATTCGATGAGCCGCTGTAGGCGCCTGTCAAGGGCATTGATATCAAGTGTCTTCGGGTTTCGGAAGGCAAATTTGCCCTGTCTTCGGGGGCTTCATCATGGTGAGTCGTGGCTTTCTGGTTGGCCGACTTGCGGACTTGATCGCATGCTGCGAAAGCACTTTGGCCTCCGACTGCACGCGCAAAGGGAACATCTCGCGAAGCAGCACGAGTTTTCGGGACAGCCTCAACGCGACTATTCGAAGAGGCTCCTGCAGTCCCCGTCGTCTTTTGGTTCTCTTCGTTGACCGAACCCTGCCTCAGGCGACCTTTGCTGGTGTAAATGGGTGTGCTGTTCCTCGATCGCTCTTCTGAGCTCATATTACCGAGCCCCTCATCCCTAACGCTGTGATGGTTCAGTGAGATGTGCTCCCGATGTTCGAGACAAGCGTCAGCGCCGCGTGCCCTCTCAGGCACCTGTTCCTCGCTGACGGTGACTGGGGGGCCAAAGAGAGCGGCCCCGGTACGGCTTGCAAAGTTGGACATTTCGACACCGACGACGCCAATCTTGGTTGGCATGTCCATAGTGAGCCAGCCACGAAAGCCGCCGTATCCACCGCCTGTGTTGCTGGCGTCTTCGTCGTTAGAAAGCTCGAAGCCGTGGGTGCTGTTGCCAGGAATGACGGCTGGCATACGACCGCGAACGCGGCTCCAGCACTTCAAGAAGGCGAGTATGGAGCCAATGACGAGAACGCTAACGCCAGTTCCAACGGCAAGGGTGGCGGGGAGGAAGTGGGGTTGCGAGCTGTAAATGAGGCCGACGATGCAGTAAATAGCAATGGCAATCGAGAAGAGGAAAACAGATGCAATAATGAGGTATTTCAGACGAGACTGTCGAGGGGTAGGATCTTCGACGCCTTGATAACGAGGTGAGAGCGTCGCAGGGACAAGGACAAACTGACTGGGCATTGTCGATGGCGTTGTAAGTGGGAGCAATGATGTTTGATGGGAGGTTGCCGATGATGCAGTGCGAGGACAGGCGTCAATGTTGTAGTTATCATATAGGATACAACAGCTGCGAATGAACCGTAGAAGGGCAACTCTTGGATTACTACAGAAGTTTTCGACGTGTTCTGGCCGCTTATTCACGGACAAGCATTGTTGGGTGGTCTACATATTCCTGCCCCAGGCGTGCAACAACAATCCGACACGTGTAAGTCAGTAGAGAAACACAAAGGCAGCGGCATGCCCGATGTTGTCAACAAAATAAACTCTCAAGCCGTTTGGTTTCCCGAACGCCACCTATTCTCGGGTAAAGAGAGTGAGTCAGCTAACTATGCAGAGGAGAGACTGAGGAATCGAGATGTGACAGCTTTGGAGTAGGCGTATGAATTGCGGCGTGGAAAATGAACTAGCCAGCAGTTAAGTAGCGAACCCATGTATCGATAAGAGAGCTAGCGTCGGTCCAGAGACTCATCGGACAATATCTGGAAGAATCGGGAATATTGGTTATCATCTTGTCACTTCTTCCATGTCCATCAGTGGAAAGTCACCCATTCCCAGCTCAGCGGTGCTAATGAATGGCGGATGAACATTTCAAAAGGCTGTTTTGCAACAGAATGGGACTTCTAGCCACTGACTGGACGAATACTCATCGCAGGACTCCGGTGTGGGTGTTTTCTGGCAGTGCACACCTCAAAAGAATCTTTCGCGATCTGTGCTCACCGAGCTGAACACACCGAGATGCTGGCGACAGTGGCCCCGCACCGACTATACAGCCTGCCTCCTGGAGCGCCTCCAGCGTAGACAAACGCGACGCTGTTGGGCACTGCGTACCACCTCTGCCCCTCCCCACCATCAAATTCTGCCCCACGTCGCAACCTGATCGCTGTCGTTTTGACCCATCTGATCGCACTCAAAATCTCCAAACCGTTTGCGCTCATCACGCTCCATCCAAGGCGAGGTCGCGATCTATTGCCCGAGAGCTCTCATTCGAACTCATCTAAGCCCTCTCAATCCGCCATCATGGTCTACTACTTCACGTCCAACGTCGTCGAGCCCTCAGCCCGCATCTATGTCGGCAAGGACAAGTTTGAGAGTGCGTGACGATGCCCTCGCTCTGCCGACTCGGACTAGGTTGGCCGGTAAACATGAGCCAAGACTGATGCCAGACTCTCCCAGACGAGGATCTCATCAAGTATGGCTGGGAGGAGGACGTGTGGTGAGTTTCGCCCCGGCCGATCCATACCGCCACCGCAAACCCCGCTGACCGCTTCAGGGTATGTCTCTCACACCAAGAGAAGGGCGACATCGCATCACTCGTTTCTCGCTGACATGGCCAGTTTCACGCCGACAAGCTGTCGAGCGCCCATATTTACCTTCGCCTGCGTGAAGGCGAGCAATGGGACAGCATCTCGCAGCCTCTCCTCGACGACCTCGCCCAGCTCACGAAGGCCAACTCCATCGAGGGTGCGTAGCCTTTTCCACGCACCGGTGCTCGCCATGCCTGAGTCGACATCGCTTACTTGTCCGCAGGCAACAAGAAGGACAATGTGACAGTCATCTACACCCCATGGTCCAACCTGAAGAAGGACGGCAGCATGGCCACGGGCCAAGTGTCCTTCAAGGATCCCCGCAAGGTTTGTCCTCCCGCCTTCCACAACCTCCTACATCCAACATGAGCACACCCCGAAGAGAGGGCGGGTCTGATAAGGTCTTAGGTCAAGCGTATCCTGGTCCCCCAGCGCGAGAATCCCATCGTCAACCGCCTCAACAAGACCAAGGTGGAGGCGAAGCCCGACTTTGCCCAGGAGCGCGAGGACCGCCTCAAGGAGCTGCGCCAACGCGACCAGGCCGCCATGCTCCTGCGCCGCAAGGAGGAAGCGCGCGTCGCGCTGGAGCGCAAGGAGAAGAAGTATCAAAAGGACCACGCGTACGACGAATTGTTTACTGAAGATGCACTGGAAGGCTCGAGCAACCAAAACAGGGATGCCGACTGGGAAGATGATTTCATGTAACTGTCATGGTTGATCAAAGTAAAAACAGACGAAAAAAAAAGTAGAAGAAAGAAAAAGGACGTGGTATTTTCAAGATTAAAACTAAGATCGCTTCGTTTGACTTCATCCTCTACACAAATTGATAAAGGGGGAGGGGGTATCCATCACTCCGTCATCAACATTGGCAGCAGTGGCCCGCGAGCCACGTACGCGACGGCGACTGCGGCGCCGAGTCAGCTGCACATCCCGACGCCTAATCGCCCGCCGCCAATCCCTACCGACTCCATAGCCTTCGTCACGTCACCCGTTGACGCGTCGGCAGCTTTATCGTAACTCGCTCTTCCTTTTTCGCTGTGCGCCACGCGGCCCTTGTCGCCGTTTCCCTTACGCGCCGCCTGCGAGCGCGCCAGTATGGGTGCCTCGCCCTCGTCCTCCCCCAGAAGATCGCCTAGGTCTTCGTCATCGCGAGGGTCCAGAAAGGGTGAGCTTCCCAGTTCGTCGCCGTCGCCGTACTGCGCGAAACGCTCCTCGGCGTTCATGATTCGCACAATGGGCTCACCGCCAGGCAATCGAACAGTTTCTGCGCCGAGCGTCTCGGCAATGTCAAGAAGCAGCACATCCATGGGGCAGATGTACGCCACCATTTTACGCTGGCTCCAGGCCAGCACGTGGCCACACACGCGCCCCATCTCGCGATCCATGATCCACGCGCCTGAGTCGCCCGGGATGCCCATGCTCGGCGATGCCATCCCGCTGGTGACTTGGTACGAGTGGCTGGGTGACTGGCGACCGTAGATCCTAATGCTGACCATGGCTGGCAAGATTCGGCCCGACTGCAGACCACTTGTGCGCGCGATACACTGAACCTCTAGACCGGGCAGAGCGGAGGACGGTGTCACGTCCATCGGACGCATGAAATTATCTCCAGTTGGCGCTGTGGCGTCCTTCTTGGTCGTTTTTTTGAAGTGAGGGATAGAGTTGTCGTCGGGTAGCCTCTCTTCATGAAATTCAAAGAGCGCCCAGTCGATCTCATGAACGAGTCCGTCCTGCTCACGGCGTCGTATCCCGCTCGATGCGTAGACCTCTCCGAGGCTATACGAGTCAAGGTGATCCTCGTCGGCTGTCTCTGCGCAAGGGTAAAAGTCGTTGTCGACGTCGTCCATGGCCGGCTGCGTCACGACGTATCCCTCTCCGCAACCAGGCTCAACGCCGGGAATATCGCCGGGCTGGCCGTAATCTCCGTCGTCGCTCTCGGACTCGTCATCCGAAGTGTCGCTGGTGATGTCCGTCTCGGATGCTTCCGAGTCGCTGTCCGAAAACTCGCAAGCGACGTCCTCAGATCCACTGTCATCGGCAGAGTCAGCATAGAAGTTCTGGAGAGACATGTCGTCTGGTCTCGCCATACTTCTGTGGGTTGACTCGGCAAGGTCTTTCTGAGGGGCTCGGTCCTGGTCTGGATCGTCGAGCATATGATGCACTGTCATGCCGTAAGGCTTATCGTCCACGATGACGAGTCCGCCGAAACTGACAGGAGGCAGGTGACGGTCCCCGATCCAGGCACCAATGCTGGCCCCGTTATTTGGGCACTCTTGATAGCTAGGATTGGCGGGCGTCGTTTCTCCGCCGTCACTGCCTTCTACGGTCATGCTGCGCTTTGAATCGCCCGCTTGCTTTCGGGACAGCACGATCTGGCCCTTGCAGACCTTGAGGCCGAACTCATTGCCAGCCTCGAATACCTCGCCGAGCTTGCGTTTGAGGATCGCCTTGACCTTGCTGACGGAGGTGCAAACGACGAGGACGGTAGGTTTGGTTTTCTGAGGCGAGACGCCGATAGACTCGAGGGAGATTTCAACAGTTTCGGGATACTTGCGATAGAAATGACGCAAGGCCTGATTGACCTGCGGCATGACGGTCGTGTGCCACTTTTCAATGGCATCAGGGGAGAGTGGCACATTAGGGTACAAGCGCTGCTTGGAAGGCTTGACCGAGGATTGCTCGACTGTCGAAATCTCAAAATGTGGACTTTGTAGTGCATGGGGAGAAGGGTTCTTACGTTCAGCGTCGCGCTTCGCAAGAAGAGCTTTCTCGGAATCCATGGCAGGCGCTGGTGCCGGAACGGGAACACGAGCGATCTGGACCTTCATCTCATCCGGCGCGGCCTGAATCTGGGTCGCCGGGCCTGCTTGGGAAGCCTGCGTCAAGATTGAGGATGTCGTGTCGCCGAGATCCCGACCAAGACGCTCGTCCAGGCCGCTGACGCCGTCCAAGATACAGCATGCCTCCAGGTAACGGCTTGCCTTGACCTGAACATTGGCCAAGAGCTCTTCGCCAACGACCTTGCCGGCGAGTTCCTGATCAACAGCATCCCAACAAACCTGCACGGCCTTCACATAGAGGGTGCCGCAGCGAATGGCAAGCTGTTCGAGGATGGATTCCGGAATGGAGGGCGACAGCGGGTCTGGCACAAGGTATTCCAGGCGTGTCCATAACCCGATGGACGTCAAGATCATGGCCAGTGAGTACAGGTCGAGGATCCTCGAGTCCGTCCGGTCGGTGATTGGACCAGCAGGTGCCGTGCGAGGGTCCAGAGGGTGGCGATAGAGTTGGATGAACGGAACCTCCTCATGATCAGATGGCGCATCCGGAAAGAGATCAAATGAAGAAATCAAAGGCCGGCGAATGTCGACCTCACTTGTTGAGTCCGGCCTGTCAGGGTTATGTGTGTTACAGAACGTGACGTTGCGGTCAAGGATGTTTCCGTGGGTGATGCCGCGCGCGTGAAGGTCGAAGACGGTATTGGCAAGGTTGTTGGCTAGGCGGAACTTGGCCTCCAGTCTGGGTTCGAAGTCCGGGCGCATCAGTAAATCGTTCAGTGTGCACAGGTTGTCCACGGGGTTACGGGTGTTGCTGTCCTGACGGATGGCATTGAAGGTGGGCGGAAACTGATAGACGAGACCAAGGCGGGAGTATTGGAGATCTTCAAAGTAACCCAGTAGTCGGGGCAGTCCTGTCCAAGCACCGGGAGCTCTTTGCGACTCACGCTGCAAGCCTGCTGAGAGTTTTTCGAAACGAGCCATGGGGGGCATGATGCCAGTGGTGGCATAGACGGGGTCGAACTCGGCGAATTCGAGAAGGAGAGGGCCGGATGGCTGGGGCCCGATCTGCTTTCCAATGGTCGCCAAGGCCTGTCTGCTCATCAAAACAATATCCCGAGTAGCGGCGGATTGGGTAATGGGCATGGAGTTCAGGTTGGTCAGTGACGATGGGTCGATTTGTTGGGGTGTTTGCATGCGAGTCGACTCGAACGAGCGCAGATCCTCTGCGGATGCCGTGGATTTGGAGAGCTTCGTACGGCTTGACGGTGCAGAAAAGGCGCCGGAAGAGCGGGTTCTAGACAAGTCGTAGAGCGTGTCGACAGAGGTGGTGAGGTCGCGAATGAGATCCTCAAAGCGGCCTTTGTCCCATGCGACGATTGGAATCTTCTTGTCGCCTGAAGACTTTTCGGACGCCTTACCGCCGCTGACAAGGGCTTTTGAGCTCTGCCATAGTGGCTCGGCCTCGGCGACAATATCGTGAATAGTCGAGAGAATGCTGCCGACGACCTCGCTCAGACCGGCCTTGGAGAGCGACTCATCGATTTCTTCGGTCTGGCTTGGATCGGACCATTCCATTCCCCAGCTTACGAACCGATCCTTCTGGATTCGCAGCTTCCTGTGAAGGGCCTTGATGTCAGGGTCCTCGGCATTTTGAACGGGTTGGGTGAGGAAGTCGGATGACTTCTTGGTGTCGTTATAAAGCCGGCTTAGTCGCCGGTGCATGGGTAGCTGATAGCCCCCAGCTGGAAAAACTGAGTCCATAGTTGACAATTATATGGTTCAAAAAGGAAAGAGCTGTTGAACGCTGTGTTTGGAACCAGAGGAGGCGTATGTCATTGCAGGGCGAGCATAGTCGCGAAAGATATCCGGGTGTTTGGCGTGGGCGCGGACACCAGTTCTGATGGGCGCGGCTGTTGAGATCGTCAGACGCAACTCGGCGGGGACCACGCCAAGATCTTTAATTGAACACAGTTTGCCAGGTGTGTGGTGAGTGTGATGATGAGGCCGAGTGGCAGTGCTCTTAGGGGAGTGTCGCAATGTGTTGATGATGGGATCTGGTGGTGGTGATGATGAAGAAGAGCCTGCTTCACAGAAGAGGCAGAGGGAGTGTATGAGAAAGGAATAATCCTGGTGCCTATCGTATGGCCAAATGACCCGAATTCTGTCTATGGCAACGATGAAGAGGTCCCTGGGGGTGGTGTCTTGGACTCGTGGTGAGAGGACCTGAGGATGTCGTCGTCGCGGCGGCTTTGGCGGGGCTGATGCGAGGGGCGAAAGCTGCTGCCTGACGCCAATCTGTTGGTCACGTTGTGATTGGCCGTCAATTCGGAAGCCTGCAGGAGTGGGGCCGGGGCTGGTGGAGCACAAAGCTTGCTGAGGTGCACTACTAATGCAGCAGAGCTTACGTGGGAGGCTCGTGCAAGGCTCGTGCTGAGAGCGAGACCGAAGGTTCAGTCACGTGCGCCCATACTGGGTCTACTTGGTCATCCCTTGCGACAATGCCCTAGGCACCGGGTAAGCGTAGGGAGTCAGGGGTTCAAGGTAAGGACACGATCAATGGCGGTTGACCGGATGCTTTGATAAAGAAAGCACAAGTCATTGAACACTGAAACATATGGACGCTGCACGCAGGCCTGAAAATAAACGCATCAGACTGACCCTGACTCCGGCTCTCCATATGGCGCATCGCCAGTGAGGAGGGCACAGTGCATCGGCCAGAGACGGGTTCCACGTTCCCGATGCTGCTGCCTACCATCCAGTTTGCTTCAGAGGTCTGATGGAGAAGCTTTCGATCGCTTAGCTCGGGGCCCAACACACCACACGGCCTTGGGCCACCACCTCCACGATGAAGAACTTTGATATTGCCTCTGGTCCTGCCCGCAAGGCAAAGGCCAGAGAGGTCCATGGAAGTTGGACATCGTTTATTCATTTGGGCATACGTACTCCTCAGTCAACTTTTGCAAGCTCAGGGAGCTCCTTCATTCCTGGCAGCTGTTCCGCGGGCTTCATGGCATCAGCCACATGTCGAGATTTCCCCTAAATGGCTGCCTGAATCTCCACTCGGCCGGAACAGTCCACAAAATCCGACATGGTGAAGGATGTCAAGAGCTTGATTATGGGCGCTAGGAAACCGAGATTGCTCGAAGCTTACAGGCCATACAGCCATCCGAAGCACCATACAGCCATCCATGTGCTTCGGCGGCGTTTGCTGGCGTCGTACTGGAAATCCAGCGCAAATCTCCACTCGGCTGGCCGAATCGTGTTCACTGCAATCCGACAAGGAGGATTGAGCAAAACAGCACACATATTTGGCCATTCGGCTGGTGGTAATTGGTGAATGTGCCCCTAGCTGACAGTCACAACATTAGGAACCTGGGCTATGACATCTGAATGATGCCGTGATAAGCAAATACATGCTTACATGGCATTGGAAATCTCGGATTCCCGCTACGATGCATTGATTTTGACCATAATAAGCATCAAAATGGGTGTGTTGTCACACTCTGACTGTGACAAGGGTCTCTCGCATTGGCCTACTTTCGGCCCCATCGCGATCGTGCTCTCAACGTGCAGGAGACGAAGCTCTTGCCTCGCAAGTGGTAGCCTAGCTGGCCTTAAATTGTGGGCGACGACTGCAGCCAAGGCTGCTGCAAGTGCCACGTCGGATACTACGGGAGCACAGGAATTTTATAAGTTGCTGCCTGCGTCTCGTCAAAAGCGTGTGTCAAATGACGCTCCGGCTGGTCAAGCTAGGCATGCCAATGGCCGGACCACGCCGCGCCGCTGAGTTCTGATGGATGCAAGGCAGAAGTGAATAAAATAACTGTGAGAAATTCTTCCATTTATCTTCTGAAACAACCTCTTGACAACGATCGCTTCGAGCAGTATGCCAGGGACTCGTGATCTCGTGGGACGCATCGAGCCCGAGGTGATGTGGCAGGAATAAGCGAAGCCATCCAAACCCATAGCAGCCTAAGATCTAAACATAATGGATTGCTTAACGAGAAATAAAATTTGGCTAGGGTGCTTGAAGCTACCACTTGCTACAGTTCCGCGTTAACTGCCTGGCGGGGCCGCCTCGGTGTGTCCGTGAAACAAAATGCCACTCGTAGTCAGTTGCGCTATAGAGGTTTTCAGCATCCATGGGTTTGCCTCAGAGATACTTTATTATCTATATCAAGATAGATTTGAAAGGAATATCCTACGGAAACAAAGATTCGGATGCCGCACAGAGCGGTGGAGTGACTATGAAAGGGTCACGTGAGGTTTGGATATATCTACCAAAAGTATAGTAAGTCTGGTCTAGACTTTGCCAAATCTTAGAATCGGTGCTCAAGATTATGACATGTATCTACTGGTGACTCAACCTGATGGTAGGTAAGTACGTGTCGATAATTGCAACACTCCTTCGATGCAATCGTCAATGGCCATAACTGCCTCCTTCTGCGCAATGCCAATACCTGAGAAAACTCCAAGACGGTGTAGCTCGTGGCTGACACAAATAGGCGAACTCTCGACGCCATGGATCCAGGCAAAGCTTCAATATTGAAGTACAGCATCAAATCGAAATAAAATCACTCAGCCATCGCCTGGAGAACACAAGTTGCGCACCTTAGCGGGGTGAGTAGACGAATCTCGATGAGACAGCCCGGTCTCTTTAAAATGTTGGCTCAAGTGGGTTAACAGTTTCACCAGGTGAAAAGGCATGGGTTCAGTTGCCCCTTCGATAAAACAATTAATCAAATTTGATCACTGTCGGCATTCGTTTGAGTACAATATTCAGCTCAGCGGCGTGATTTCCCATGGCCACGAAGATGAGATTGGCGGAATTCCAGAAGGATCAAGCGTGAGAAGCACGCTGATTCGCTCATCTGAGCGAACTGAAGTCGCGGGGTCAACCACAGCTGTCGTATACGTAGATATCCCCAATTGAGTCACACCTCAACAACACTACTGGCTTGGCACAAAGTTCTGCAACTGTGAGTAGTTTGATCATACATCTCATCTGCCTCTCATGACTTTCGTTAATATAGCGTCGCCAACAGACTCCTAGGATCTCTGAAAACGACCATTCACGCACCCTGTATTTACCCCGCAATGGAATACATCACCCTTCCACGCTCTCTCCCCTCCGAGGAACAATATGATCGACTGGTCAAAAAATACAAGGACTTTCGGCTTTTCTCGATGGCTCACTCTCCCGGCAGCTTCGGATCGACACTTGCAAGAGAGGAGTCATTCCCCCACGAGACATGGGTGTCTAGAGTAACGAACCCGCTGGCAACCAATTTGGTTGCTGTTGTGAGAACTCCGGACCTGGATAGTCCGCCATCGGAAGGAAAGCTCGAGTTGATATTGGAGCAACCTTGGCTCGCATCGCTGACGCTTGTGGGGCCGCTGGACCCAGCTAAAGCCGAGGAGATGTATGGGAAGGCAATGAATATTGCGCCCGGAATGGCAAGTTTTGGCCCTCCTGAAGAGGCCACTGGAATAAAATGGCAGTTCGCTTTGAACGCTATGTATGTCGTGCCTGAAGGTAGGGGTAGAGGATTGGCCAAGGGCATCGTCAAGAGTGCAGTGCAGCTTGCGATTAGTATGGGGGAGGGCGAGGGTGTGAGGGTCATTCTCCTTGTTGATTATGATAACAAAGCTGCTAGAGCGGTGTATAAGAGTTCTGGATTCGAGGTGACGCATAGGTATTGGTTTAACGATCACCGCGTGGGTAGGAGTGGTCAGACGGAAGCAGCGGTCATGAAGCTGGACACAGGTGGCCGACGTAGCAGATAAGCCTTGTAGCAACCCACTGCCTCAACCTCAAGCAGATGATGCTCTAACAAAGTCACCGATCACAGCAGAAAACCACACGGTAGATTTGAGGCGACGGTTGCCGTTCAAACTTGAGGGAAATATTAGTTGACTGCCTTGAAGAATCTCGTAGGCCAAGGTCGATGCCATAGATAATGGTGCCTCCTCTGCTACAGTTCAACGTACGAGCGTAGGTTGAATTATCTAGAGCATCGACGACTGCTTGCGGTGTCTCAAAGTCCACGAGAAAGATCATGACACATTCGCGGAACTCGCAAGTGGCACGCCAGTCGTGCGACGAAGTGACAGACTCTCGGATGAGAATTCGTTATGTATATGAAGTGTTATGAATGGAATGGACTGTCAAAGTATGTGCTTGACTACAAATATGTACTCAGAAATCTGACTCCTTGCTTCTGCGAATGGCGCTCCAAGAGAATTGCAGTCACGCTTTTACGCTACCCCTAGTTGCCAATGCGACCAACACCGTAGTTGGCAAGGACGTGACCCTTGACGTCACCGTAGCGCAGAGGCTGCACGAGGTTGGCCTTGTACTTACCAAGCTCGGTCAGCACACTGTTGTCCTTGCGCGCCGTGATAGCGCCCGAGGCGGTGATGGCGTTAGCCTCGCAGTTGCGGCCGAGGTAGGATGCACAGTTGGTGCGCGACGCGTCGTCGGGAACGTTGTAGACTTTGCCGGTGCTGCTGGCTGGGGTCATGGGCTGCGGCTGATTCTCGAGGCGGTTGCCCTCGATGAGGACGCGGGCGCCAGCAAACGAGATGTCAAAGGCGTGACCGGTGTTGTAGTTGTAATAGTTGTTGACTGCCTGGATGATCTGGGTACCGGACTCGGAGCCAATCTTGGGGGCGCGACCCGAGACGTCGTGGAGGTAGTTCTTGTCGAAGGTTATCTTGTCGAGCTTGCCGACCATCATGATGGTCCAGTAGTGCTTGTT